GGAGTGTGGGCTGTTCTGAATTCATTAACTGCAACATAAAAAAATCACAAATATAAATGATTAGAATGGGAGTTTCATACATTTTTTAAAATCATTAGACTTCCAGGAATGTAGAGAATCCCAGAGTTAACAGCTTATGAGCATAGTAATACTCCTGTGGAAAAAACCCTGCTTTTCATGCCTCTCCTCATTTTTGTATATGTTTGAGAAGTCTGCGCAGATGTCTGCTGAGCGAGGGGCAGGGGTTAGCACAAAGTTTGTTGAACTATGACTCTAGCCATCTCTGCAGGCACATGGGGTCACAGCTGACCAGTCTTTGAACTGAAAGATGGACAGAAAACTAATTGGCTGTCTTTTGTTTCTGAATTAACAAATTATATTTCACAAATTAGCCAACATTTCAGGGATATACGCATGTATCAGTCAAACAAATGTCCATCCATTTTCTGCTGCTTATCTGGGTTCGAGCCACTGGGCAGCAGTATGAGCAGATAAGCCCAGACTTCCATCACTCTAGCCATCTCTTCTAGGTCATCCAGGCGGACACCCAGTCCTTCCAAAACCCGTCGAGACACATTTTCCAGTGAGTCCTGGGTCTGCCCCAGGACCTGCCCTGGTAGGAATCGCTGGAATACCTTACCTAGGAGGCATACAGGTGTCCTGATCAGATGCCTGAAGGAAGGAGATTTTGAAGGAAACTAATTTCCGCTTGTATCTGTGATCCCATTCTGTCAGTCACTATCCAGAGCCTGTGACTTTAGGTGACAGTAGGAACAAAGCCTGGCTGGTAAACTTTCATGCTCAGCTCTTTCTTCACCAGGGTCTCCCATGACAAAGTGGAGGGGCCAGACAAGAAAGACTCAGACAACCCTATCACTTCACTATATCTCTAATAACTAAGAGATCTTAATGATCTAATCAATTACAGATCTAATAAACTAGAGATCTAGCGAACCCTTGCGGGGCAGGGTTACTGGGCCCTCACCCTGTGGTAGAGCATCAGGGGAGAGTATTTGGTGGCTTCGCTTTATCCGTAAGAAGCAACATTGATCCATCCCTCTGTGCACCCACCATCCACTGGAGGGCTGTAGGGGTTCGGCTCTTTGGGGATTGGCCTAATTTGTGAATGATTGTAGGCTCTGCCATTTGAACTACAGCCACCCAAAAGCAAATGCATTGATATCAACAATGACTATCATCATTTAAAAATCACATGCTAAATGATTCATAGCTGCATGGACTGTGAATTTTCTCGAGCATAGTCATTTACTCTGAACAAGTTCAGCACTGTTGTTAAGGTGGAAGCAGCACAGCAGTGCCAGCAGAGTGGGAGTGGTAAATACTATGTTGTCTAATGGTGAATGCTCTACACATAAGGGATCAGAATAATGCCACCTTGAAATGAAACCGAAATGGGGGGTTTTTCGGTTTCATTTTGTCACACAGTGGAAATTTGTATTTATCTTGTATATTGTTTTTATTCTGATTTTTAGTGTTTATTTATGAGTGTTTTATTTGCATGGTTTTTAGTGTTTTATGTGACATGGTTTTTATCCACTGTGGACTGGCTGCACATGGGACAAATTAGCTGATAGGGACCACCTGCTGAGGCAGGGGTGTGTCCAGAGGTGGCCTATCAGGACCATTGTTCTGGCCCCTATTTGTTATGTTGCAGGACACCGACGCAAGGGGAGCTGTGGCGGTGGTCGCATCATGGATTCGGGTGCAGAACGCAAGCCGGGCTGGGAAGTGATGGGCCAGCGGAAGGACAAGAAGATGGGTGGCTCTTTCTTGTCTGCTGAAGACAGGGCTGGCGTGGACTCTGCTCTAAAGGAGGAATTCCTGGCCTGCTGATGGACCCATACTGAACATGTGGCCTAATTATAGCAGGGGGGGTTTTAGTGAATGTAGAAAATGGTAGTTTTATGGGTTTTAGAATTGTTTTTAGTAGAGAGCAAACATTCTGGCGCGACCGCTTTAGTGTCCGCAGCGCGTTACAATTTCAAGGTGGCATCATTCTGATCCCATATACACAAGGGTCCTTTTTTACCCAGTGCAACAGAATGGCAGCTCACCAGCTTAACTGCCCCTCCACTGATGTACAAACAGTGCTTTGTTATCATTTATTAACACTTAGTATAAGAGTGAAAATGAAAGGATGTCAAATGATTTGGCAACTACTTTGTTTTAAATTCAGACTAAGAGCAAAATTAGATTAAAAAATGTGACACAAACTCTTATTAAGTTAAAAATAGCTAGCTAGATATTATAGTAACAGCAATTTTCTGTTATTGGGAAAGTCTATAAATATATCGGCACTATTCTAATCCTTGGTAAACTGTGATGTCAGCCATGAACACTTTGGGGGATAATAAATGTTCAAAAAAAGAAACCTGTTAACATAAACACCCGTTTACCTCTTTTTTTTTTTTCTTTCTACGTCCACATCAAAAATGCAAATCTGAGTTTCATTAGCAGCTAAACACCATTTGGTTACCACCTAGTTAACATTTTGTCTGCCATTTGGTGCAGAAAGCATGCAGTGGGTTTTATTGGAGCATTCTGGTGTGGCTCTGGGTCCAAAAACAGAAACAGTGAGCTGGACGTTTCTAAAATGCTCACTACAAGAAAACTGCAGACTTTTTAAGCCTTCTGCTCTATGTTCTTTGGTCTAATATTAATACATATTTAAGCAAAAGACCACAATTTTTATCATTTATATTATCGCGGAAAAAGCTAGATTGGTGATTATGAAGTTGGATAAAATGTCCAATAAAAATGGCCCAAACAGCAAGCTGCTGAGCTGAAAAGTAGCCATCCTCGGTCTGTATGCACTCTACGTGTCAGAAACTCTGAACAATCACAGGAAACTTTGTTTGCTGTGATTGACAACATGATTCTGTCCTGTCTGGCTCTTTCTAGTGCAGTTATCTCCACTGAACTGGCACTGCAAGCATGTTTAAACAAACACAGAAAATGGTTTGCTATAGCTTTCATAATACTGTACATATTTTTCTTTTTTTCCTTTTTTTTGATGGATTGCCTTGCCAAACTCAAGGACTGGTACATCCCATTAGTTTCAAAATCAGAGATTTCTGGGCAGAGGGAATGGAATTTTCACAAGGGAGCCCTGCTGTATGTGTTTGAGTGTGTGTCACTTTGTGTTTGCTGATTTATGTTAGCGCCTATGTACATGTGTTTGTTAGCAGCCTTGTTTGCCCCTGAATGGGAATGCACCCTCATTGTCCACCTTGTTAGGTATTCAACTGTTGGTCAGCGTAAATATTTTTAATCAGCCAAGCAAATGGTAGAAACTGACTTTGACAAGATGGAGTTTTAAAGTTTAGACTGAGCATCAGAATTGGGGAGAAAGGTGATTTAAGTATTTGAATGTTGATGTCAGACAGGCTGGTCAGAGTATTTTAGAAACTGCTGATGTACTGTTATTTTCCCACACAGCCTCTACAGAGAACAGTCTGAAAAAGAGAAAATATCCAGTCAGTTCTCTGGGTGAAAATGTTTATGTCAGAAGTCAGATGAAAATGGCCAGAATTCTTCAAACTGTAACAGTAACTCAAATAACTACTCATTACAACCACAGTATGCAGAAGAGCATCTCTTCAGCAGCAGAAGATTACGCCAGAAGCTACACCATGTCGAAAAGCTCAAAGCATCTCAAACTGGTTTCATGAACATGAAAGTAAGTTCACTGTACTCAAATGGACTCCAGTCAGACACACACAGTCAGACAGATCGCAATCCAGTAGAGCATCTTTGCGATGTGGTGGAATGGCAGCTACATCATGGAAGTGCAGCCAGCAAATCTGCTGCAACCATGTGATGCCGTCATGTCAACACGGACCAAACTCTGTAAGGAATGTTTCCAGCAACTTGTTGCACCAATTTAGAATTAAGGCAATTCTGGACGCAAAAACGGCTCCAACCCAGTGCTACAAAGATGCAGCTGATAGAGTATCCAGTGAGTGTCCATGCACAATCACGTTTTTGGTGGGCTGTTTGTTACATAAACTCTTATGAGCACAGTACTGTGGGAAAAGTTTGATTTCTCTCCACGTAACGCTTTACTGTGACTCTGTGTTTTCGTGTGTACATCTGTTACTGTTTTCCATTCTAAACTGTCCCAACTGGGGATCGAGGAGAACAAAACTGCACAGCACATGTTCGTCCTTCCCCGAGGTCCATGCCATCCCTTGTTCCTCCTTTCTCTGCTCCCTCCCCCTTTTCCCCTCTCTCCAGCTTTTTCTCCCAGGTCCAGTGTGGAAAATGCAGCATCACTGAAACCACCACCGCTGCTCTCCAAGTCTCCTAAAAAAAAAAAAAAGTAACCCTACCCTTCTCTTTTATTCTCTTCCTTCCCTGCACAGCTCTCCCTTTTTTTTCTGCTCTCTCTCTTCCTCTCCCTGCCAAACTGCTCCACCCAACTCGCAGAAGTTGAAATACAGTCACAGACTTTCTTTGTTAACTTGGTATCCTCTTGATTTAACTTCTCATCAGACACATTTGCATGTGTTTGCCATCTCCCAGTCTGTCTGCCTCTGTATGTCACTGATCAGACCATAAGTGGGAGGAGATGGTTAGTCAAACTCCCAAGAGATGCAACAGAGGACTCTTTTCACTTTAGAGGCAGTCCCTTACTCCCTCCGCAAGTCGGCCACAAAAATCACCAACGTCACACATTTTAAATCGTATCATTATGATTTAGAGCCATTGGGATCTAAGTTGAGCGTTGTAACTGCTGACTAAACATCTTCTCAAATCAAGAGCAAGCCTTTGTCAGAGATGAATGAGGGATCCTTCTTCTTGTTCAGTTTAAAATGCACATGTGTGATCATCTATGCACTAGTCATGCATTCAAGAAGTAAAACAAGATCATTTATATCCATGGGCATAAAAGTTACACAAAAACATTGTGACAATGACGAGTAAAGATACCAGTAAAGATTTCTACACAAAAACAAAAAACAAAACAGGGGACTTACCATGACTTCAGTCAGGAATTCCTACGTAGTCTTCGGGTCCTTTCCTGAATTCATTTCCTCTGCGCATTCTCCGCAAAACTTTCTCTTTGTCTCAGTTACAATAATCAAGCTGCAACTCCTTTACTTTATAGGTTCGTGTCCCCTTCAAAGCTCGCCTTCTGTAAGATTTCGGCACTTGAGGAGCAGCTCTCCTCCCCTCTCTTTCCCTTCCACTTCCACACTGTCTCGCTGTATTTCCCAGCCTGGGAATGTCCGAGCTGCACTGCTTCCCCCACCCCTCCTCTCTCCTGCCCGGCAGTCCCACGCACCCCACACCTCCCTCTCCTCTTCCTCCTCTCACCTAACAAGAGAACTACAGTCCCTCTCTCTCCTCTCAAACTTTCCATTTCCCCCAGTGGTAACTTAAATGAATGCACAATGAAAAACCGTTACCCCACCCAGCCACCAGCCACTAGAAACCTCTGATGTTTTATTGTGAGCTTCTATTCTAAGGGCAGATAAGCTAAGTGAGTCTGTGTGCAATCAAATGTAATCTCATGGAAAAGTGTGGGCTTCTCATCGAAAACACTCAGATATTAAATGGAAGCGTACGCACATGTTCAGTGCATCACTGAGGGGAGAAATCCCACCCAGCTGCCCTCCCCTTGACACATAAGCAAATGCCAGTGCAATTTGATAAGTGAGTCAACAAATAATGAAAATTCCCAGGTAGCACACTGGCAGCTGAACCAGTGGGCTCAGTTTAGGGCCCATCCTATGTACAGTTCAAACTTTTAGGGGGGCTCAGCTCCCAGTCAATGTAGGTGTTTCACATTTGCAAACCTCAATTCATTTGGATAAACTTTACAATGCTTCAGAAGCAAACTAATTTGTCAGATGGCCTATTGCAATGTCCAAGAATAATTCAGAGTGAATAATCAGGGATTTCAATACAATCCACCCGTTTTAAGGTGGAGCCTTTAATTATCAAACCCGAGGCAAAGGCTCAGAAGTTAAAGAAGTATTTGTGGAAAAGTGGATACGATGAGAAACATGCACAACATTATTTCAGTCTCTTAACCACAAACCCCATGATATACAACAGCATTATTCAAGTACTGACACTGGAAAATCTCCCTGCCACTTCACAGACTTGCACACGAAGTAAAGTGGCAATAGAGTTGTTTTTAAATGAATAAAAAACCCTCCGTCTATGCACACTCAGCACAGAGCATCATGTAGCACATTTTCACGAGTGGAGAATACATTTGTAGCTCCTCTTCCTCTGTCTCTTCCTCACATCCCCCGTGAGCAGTGCTTTAAGTGGCCCAAAAGAGGTGCCGGTACTCTATTCTTTTTCCGCCTCCCCTGAGGTAACAACAACTATATTGAATGGGTTTTATATACAACAGTCAACAGACAACCTTATACAAAATAATAAATCATTTTATTAGTTTGTGGATTTGCTTGAGCTAGAAAGAGCTACTGAACATAAATAAAATGTGCAAAAAGGTATTGAAATTTTTTTTTAACAAAATGTACATAAAATAAATTATAAAATAATTTGTATTTTGCTCTCTCTCTTGAGTCCCTGCTGGTATCAGCAGCAGCACTTGTAAAGTGTACCTGCAGCGCTTGGTAGTTCTCCCATGCTGCTTTCACTGTTCTCTCACTTGAAGCAACCCAACGCACTGATAAAACACGGCCTATCACAAGGAGACGTTGTCCAACATTGTGAGCACTCTCGGTTAACTCCCTTTGGTTTTTTGGTGATGCGAGAGGGAGTAAAGCTGATCTAAGAATATTTTAAAGTGGTTGATTCCTCCTACCTCCTTCAAAACATCACAAACTGCCAGTTCCAGTCTGTGATTGGAACAATGCCAGACAAACAGGTAAGGGAATTTGGAACAAAGCTGCGCAGCAACTCCTGCTTTCCTCCCAAGCATCACTGAGGCTCCATCACAAGCAAATGCCAACAAATGTTCCTGTAGGTAGTGAGGGTCAAAGCCATTATTATGAAGACATCCTAACAGTGCTTCAGTGATGTCCTTTGCTGTGGTCCCCTGCAGCTCAATCAGTTCAAAAAATATTGTGTCTGGATTTTCAGTGGAAATAGCTGACCGCAGGCACACGACAAGCACAGACTTTCCACTTATTGTAGTGGATTCATCAATGAGCACACACAATTTTCTTTCATTCATCACTATGCCATTGACTACCTTCTTTTTCATTTCAGCTGCAATGTGATCCAGTATATTTGCACATGAGTTATTAGAGTGCAAAACTCTGCCCATCTTGACACCATTTAAGACTTGCAACTGGACATCTATTGGCATGTCTGTAAAGGGACGCCCATGCTTGCCAATCTTATAAGCTGCTCTAAACACATTGAAGTTGAAGCGTAGTCAGCCTTTCTCATATCTTCAATGTGTTTTTGCATTGTATTTTGTGTTGCCTTCTCTTTTATTTCAACTGCTTTCTTGTGATAAGTTGAGTCTCTGTGCTCTTTTATTTTCTTTCGTAGTGAGTTTTGTTGTGCAGCCTTGTCCCTTCCAAAAGACGAGATTAAGCACCCACTCCACTCCTGCGACACTCTCTGCCCTTGCTGCATGTCCACGCGAGCACAAACTTGACTACACACACTACAACCCAACTTTTGATTTCTGCTGATCAGCCACTTGTAATTTGTGGAGAAATACCGGACTTGTGCTTGGGACCAACATTCTGGCCACTCATGCTCGCTAACGCGGCTGTTGTCGTCGGTAGAAATGGTGTCATTCTCGTCCTCGTCGTCGCAAAAAGTGCCGTCGTCCGCGGCTGCGGCACTAGTGCAGCTTTCATTAGCTTGCGTCTGACCTGCAGCGATATCATTCTGGCTCGGTGGGGTGTCAGCCAGCGAGTCCTCTGATTCTGACCTTGTTCTTTTACTACTCAGAGTCTGAAGCCAGGAGAGCATATTAAGTGTTCATTGTTTTTGTATTTTAACCGAGCAGCTGTTTGCGCGTTTTACACACCCTCTCCGGACCACGTTGAGTTGTTGACAAGACAACGGCAAAAGCGACGCATGCGCTTTTCACTTGTAAAACACATTGGTGTATGGGTAATGTAGTCTCTGCTCTCGGTGGGACGAATTAGGAAGCGTGCTTGTGAAGGGCGCTCTGAAAAGCGGCAGCGCAGCCAAACGATTATAACAGATGTGCAAATGAGAGTACCGGTACGCTAAAAGCACGTTCTGGGCGCATGGAGAGGTGGCGGTACTCTCAAGAGCTATATTTAGAAGTGGCGGTACTGAGTACCGGCGCGTACCGGCCCACTTAAAGCACTGCCCGTGAGGCCTTGTTTGTTGTTGGTACTTCTGTTCAGCTAACATGTCGTTAATTTCAGACACTTTGCAGCATCTATTTTTTAGTCTTTATTCTTTTCTCTCAGCTTTCTACCTCCAGCTTTTCACTACTTCCACCTAACTTTTTCTACAAGCTGAGAAGGTGTGGGAGGAACCGGTTTGCATTAAGAGATTTGATTGGGCAATCCAGTGTCAGTAATGAAAATGAACCAATAGGCTGTTGTACAGCCGGTGCACATTGGCCCACAGCGAAAGGCCCTGTATGGCAGATAAGCAGCCCTGCTGTAGACCAAACATTACCCACGTGGGCCCAGCCTACAGTACTTTGATAACCGAATAAGAGTTTAATTCAAATCATGCTGCATCTAAATTTAAAGTTCTCCCTAATACGAATCTCTCTATATAAAGTTCTTGACTCAGAGTCACCCAGAACAAATAATGCTGGATATATAAACCACTATAGACCTGCCGGTGATTAATTAAGCCTATAAATCATAATGGAGGTTATTTTCCCCCCGAAGTTTATTCATTTTGAGGATGAGCAGAATGAGCTAAATTAAAAGTCAGCTTTGTTTAAGGTTTGGATCACATTTTAGCTTTGAGATGACTCACAGTTTCTCATATGTTTTTACTGGATCTTTTCACTGAAAAAAGCACCGCACTGGTGGTTTTACTGTGCTTAATTTAACCGTAAGGGTTTGTGTTATGGATCGAGGAGGAACGATCTCAACCACTGCATCAGCGCCCCCCTGTGTTGTGTGTATGATATTGCAATTATGGAAAACCAGACAACGATGAGGAGCAAAGCGACACTGTACTGCCAAAGTATTCTCTCATGTGCCTTCACATGCACATGAACTTGAGTGACATCCCATTTTTAATCCATATTGTTTAATGTGAACATTTAATATTTGCAGCTAAAACAGCACCAACTCTTCTGGAGAGGCTTTCCACCAGGTTACAAGTGTGTTTATGGGAATTTTAGATCATTCGAGCACGTTTGTGAGGTCAGACATGGATGTCGGAATGAAAAGTCCTGGCTGTGCTCTGACTAATCCCAAAGTTTGTTTCTTTTTTTCTTTTTTTAAGGCTTTCAAGTGTTCCACACCAAACTCACTCATCCATGTCTTTATGGACCGTTTCTTGCCCACTGCTGTGCAGTCATGTTGGAACAGCAGGGAGCCATCCTCAAACTGTTCTCACAAAGTTGACTGGATGAAATTGTCCAAAATTGTCTTGGGATGCTGAATCATTAAGAGTTCCTTTCAAACTAAAGGGCCGAGCCCAACTCCTTAAAAACAACCCCAAACATTGGTGACCTCTGTGTTCTATGCCTCAGCAACTGCTGACTCCGCTCTGTGATTTTACGTGTCCTACCACTTCATGGCTGAGTTGCTGTTGTTCCCAGTTGCTTCCTCATTGTTATAATACCAATAACAGCTGACTGTGGAATAATTAGTAGCAAGAAAATTTCACATCTGAGCTTCTAAGAGCGATGCCGTTCTTTCACAGACGTTTGTAGAAACAGTCTGCATTTTGTACACCTGTGACCATTAAAGCAATTGGAACACCTGAATTCAATAATTTAGTAATTCTTCAAACTAAAACTAAACTGAAATCTAAAACTTGATGTGAAAAAACTTGTTAGCTTATGAAAATAAATATAAATGAAACTAGACATTAAAAAGAGAAAAGAAAAACTAACTGGACTAGAAAACTAAAATAAAAACAGTGAGGAGATATTTTTAGTCTTTTTAATAACACACGTAATTGTGTTATGTGTGCAGGCCAGAAAGACTTTAATGATCTATAGATGAAATAATATTAATACTAATTATAATACTAATAACGATAATGATAATGATAACAACAGTAGCAATAATATAATGCACTACAAATTAGAGGAGTGTCATTTCAAAGGAGTGAC